TTTTTTTTGCAGACTTTGGCCAGGGCTGGGTTTAACCCCACCACCTCCAGCATATGGGGCCTGCACCTACTTCTTTGAGTCCCAGATGCCTGCCTTTAAGTGAAAACAACCCTTGGTGAGTTTCCCCTAAGAGAGTTAACAACAATTAAGAAATGACAGCAATGAAACCAACGCAACTGCCAGGTCTTCACCTTCTAAATCAAATGGCAAGAATTTTAACCACTTTGTGTTTCCCTGTTTATTAAGGGAAAAGAGAGAATATTGCTTTATGTAAAAAATTATCTTGATTTTCATTTAAAAAGTTTTAAAATCCTAAAATATTGAAATACAAACCCTAAATAATCCCACTAGCTAGAAGTTATAATTTTCATACTTCATATATCCAAATTCTGTTGTTTTAAGAATTACACACATTTAGATAGGCAGTTACAGATGAAGCTTAAGGGGAAGAATTATATTATCTTCTTTCACTTAATATATGTCAGCATCTTTCCACCTCAAACAGAGCTAAGGCAGCATTTGATAGAAGACTGTATTCTACTACAAGGTTAGACCACGGTTTGTTTATTAGTCTTCTATAAAAATTGACTTTGGGGCTTGGCACCCGTAGCACAGTGGTTACAGCACCAGCCACATACACCAAGGGTGGCAGGTTCAAGCCCAGCCCAGGCTAGCTAAACAACAATGACAACTGCAACAAAAAATAGCCGGGCATCGTGGCGGGTGCCTATAGTCCCAGCTGCTCAGGAGGCTGAGGCAAGAGAATCTCTTGAGCCCTAAAGTTTGAGGTTGCGATGTATGAGCTGTGATGCCACAGCACTCTACCCAGGGTGACACGATGAGACTCTCAAACAAAAAAAACTGACTTCGGTTCCATTTATTTTCAATACTACAAATAAGTAACTGGTACCTACATTTTTGAACATAAATTCTCTGGATAAATCCATTAAAGTATAATGCGTCAAAGGACAAGAGCTTTAATACTTTTAATACTATCTGGAACTGTGAAGGGTCTGAGATTACACCCCACTTGCAAGCTAACAAGTTAGTCTGCCACCATTTTATGGAAGCTGTAAGATCAAGACTAATGGTCAGAGACCAAAGGACATTTACTACTTATAACACCACCAACAGCATTTCTGCACCAGCCCTGAGGTCACATTCCCACTGGGCCATGTCAAGAGAGCCAGGTGACCCTGCACACACAGGGGACTGCGTAACAGTGGGGATGCCTGAACACAGCAAACCCCAAATCTGTCACAATCCACAGTAAGCAAGCCTGCCCTTCGTTCCAGAGAAGGACACTGTATTTTCAAGGCCATCTGCTACAGAAAAATCCTCGAAAAGATATTCTGGAATAAAGAGCTCAATCTGCTCTTAAAACAAGCAGCAACATGAAGGACCCTGGAAAACTGTCTCTTGATAATGTTTCCAAAATGCTTCCTCAAGTGAAGGAGACCAGAGACCACATTTGACCAATACTTTTGATGTCTGTCAACATTAAAATATTAGAAGTTTTAAGTTCCCAACCTGGTTTTAAAGTTTATTTTACTGACTATATTTTCAAACACGTACTGCTCGTTTGCTTCCCCCTCTTCCTGCTCTGCCGCCCAGCCTGGCGTGCAGTGCTGTGATTACAGCTCGTGGGGCCATCAACTCCTGAGTTCAAGCAGATCCCCACAGCCTCCATAGCAGCTATAAGCACAGGTGCACTCCACCAACGCCCATCTCACCATATTGCCCATCTCACCATACTGCCCATCTCACCATACTGCCCATCTCACCATACTGCTCGGTTGGTCTGGAACTCCCAGCCTCAGGTAATCCTCTCGCCTCAGCCTCCTACAACACTGGAATTCTAAGTTTGAGCAACTGTGCCCAGCCTGTTTATTCCATTTTTGAATTAAATTATTTACCCTTTTTCAATAGGACTTCTCACCCATATATTGAACCTACTACTTACTAAATGTTAGTTCATATCTTGATTAACTTTATATGCTAAATATAACCCCCCTCATCTCAGCTGAACAGACTGTCAACTAAAACACTATGTACTAGCTTCCCCTGCTGGCAGGTATAGCCATGTGACAAAGATTTAATTAGCAATGTATTTACAAGGGTTAGATGTTTTTAAAGGAGGGGCCTGGTCCCTGTTTAGTCTCCCTGTATCCCACTGCCCGGAAGGCAGACCCTGAGGAGAGCTGAGCTGGGCGTGTAGACGCAGCCTGGGTCCCTGTTTACCTAAGCCAGAGGTTCACTGACCTCCTCCACAAATTTCAACAACCCCACCCCCAGGAGATTTGGTCAGTATGCTCCTAGCACTGTCTGAGCCTCTTCTGGGAGGTCTTTACTTCCTCTGTTCTTAAGCACAGGGATTTGGACACATTTGTTTTCTCCCCTGTATTAGACTGTAAGTTCCCTGAGGACAGGAATCAAGCTTCATCATCTGTTTCTTCAACATCTAAAACAGCATCTAAATATGGGGAAGTCTGTGGTATTTTCTGAATAACAGTCCAAATTAAAGTTACTAATTAAAAGTAATTACAGTAATGCTTTCAAAGCCCTAAAGTACACATCACATTTATGAAAGATTACCCACACCCTCACAAAGGATTTAAAACACTTAAAGGGCACACACTGTCTGGAAGTCACAGCACACCAGGACTCACTTCTCAAAGAGCAGAGAAAGCTCAAGGTCTTTACTATACTCACAATTCAAAGGAGACGTTATCAACTTCTCACTAATGCTGAAAAGATATTCATTTTAAGTCTGGGGAAGAAAACCAGCAAACTTTTTGACTCTTAAAAGATGAACAAATACCTCTTCAGTGTCGGGAGCAGCCTGGGGCTCAGTAATCTCATCTAAGGCCTCTCCAGCAACACAGTCCTCCTGCCCGTGCAGCCCCTGCTGCCCACCGCGAGCCTGCAAGTATTCTTCATCCTGACAGCCATTAAAGAGAAAATAAGTTTTTCTCACACAGCTTTGGGGTGTTTTTAAGCACTTTTCATGTTTATAATTCATGCTTATAGAAATTTTACTGTGGCAATTACCTGACTGAGCACAAAGCACTAGCACGAAGGGAGCATGCAACCCTCTCTGCTGTTAATGCGAGCACAGCACACCATGCCAACCCGCCGCAAAGGTTAGTGGCACAGCTCTGCTTCAGTTCCAAGTGCCCTGTTCCATAGCTCTTCTCCAAATCCGCACCACGGAGAAACAATCTTCAGAAGAAAGTGCATGTGCTCCCATAGAGGAGCTAGCAGGAGGAAGGGGGCTGAAATCTCGCATTTTTATGGCAATAAGACAACAAATGTATAGGCAATTCAGCACAGGAGCTTTCTTAACATCACAGTAGCATGAGTTTCTCCCTTGGGCCCCTCCCTCAAACAGGGGGAAAATTCCAGTTTTGAAGAACCAGAAGGGGCATTATCAGCAGGTGGCCGTCCCTAAGAACAGAAGGAAGGAAGCACACAAGCTGCCTGCAGGGGACCACGACTGCATCAGAAAGGAAGACTTCCGCGGTACGGCTTACAAGTGACAACATGTGATCCCACCCATTCGGTGGAGGTAGGCTTCCCAGTGTCCCTGGCCATTTGCTAAAAATGAACTGTAAAACGGTTACAAGGCAGACAACCTCCTGCGAATGAACCACCTATGGGTATTAATTACCTACTGCATGGTACGTGACAGTCTCATCTACAACTCCCAAAGAAAGCAACCATATTTAGGTGGCAAACCACCTTAGTTCCTACAACTGCTTCTCTCAAGACAATCCAAACACACTACATTTTATTTTCCAGAAAAAACTGCTAGTATCCTATCAAAAAGAACAACTATCACTACCCACGATTCACAGGTAGCAAAAGGCTCACATTTCAAATGAGGCCAGATAATGCTAGTCAGAAGTTTCAGCCAATATACAATGAAGCATAGTCTACACAAATGGACTCCCACTGGGAAACAAAAATCTTCTGCCCTTTACAAAAACTGTCACTCTGATATTGCTTCTATAGAACAATTTTTATGAACATTCTGTGTTAATTTTAAAGGCTCTTAAACTAATTGCATGTGAAATATGTCACTCCACAATTTTCTAATAGTTTGTTGACTAAAGCAATACACATTCCTTACTAATGCAAAAGTAAAAATTTCAAAATGAAATCACAATTCGCTCTCAAGAATAGTACAAGAACAATTCACGAACTTAAGGACCTTCCTCAGGGATAGAGGGAGACACCACAAGAGGTGTGCTACCAGCTCCTTCAGCGTCTTTGGCCGCCCCTTCTTCTGGGCAAAGGTGCCCCTTCCAACTGTAACCCCCTTATGCACAGACAGCCCTCCCTGGAAAGTCACAGACGGGGCTCCAGTGGAGCATGCTCATTATCCACATTCCAGAGTTCAAATCTAGCTTTAAAGTGCAGGTTAACAAATCCTAACTAGGACAGAAAAAAGTTATATAAATCATTTAATAAACTACAATACCAGTAGGACACAATCTACTCGTGTGTTCATTAGTCTTGTGATGAATACATCATCTGGGCCCTTGTGACAGCCTCAGAGAAGGACTTCACAGCTTAACCCTGGGGGTCTCCTATGCACAGCAGTGGTCTCTTCAGACCCTGGATATAGCCAAACAGAATGTCCCGGCTTAACACTAGAGCCTAAGCTGCTACTGGCACTTCACTCTTACTTCTTATCATTAAAATTTACAACTCTGTGAAAACAGGACACTTTGAGAATTTCTAAGGTTTTTTTTTTTTTTTTTTTTGAGACAGAGCCTCAAGCTGTCCCCCTGGGCAGAGTGCCGTGGCATTACAGCTCACAGCAACCTCCAACCCCTGGGCTCAAGTGAGTCTCTTGCCTCCGCCTCCCAAGTAGCTGGGACCACAGGCGCCCGCCACAACGCCCGGCTATTTTTTGGTTGCAGCCGTCATTGGTGTTTGGCGGGTCCGGGCTGGGGATTCGAACCCGCCACCTTAGGTGTACGTGGCTGGCGCCTTAGCCGGTTGAGCTATAGGCGCCGAGCCAATTTCTAAGGTTTTTGCTGTAAGTTTTTTTTTTTAAATTCTGAAAAAAATTAATTCATTTTAATGTGGAAAAGTACTATGAGAGTTTTTAAATTGCCATATTTTATTCTTTTCACAAGGAGTTGGGCAATTAAGTCGGATTTCATTGCAATCTTGGTCTAGATATAACCTCAAATTTGAGAATGGAAGAGTGGGAAATTCTCAGTAGAAATTCTCTTTACAACATAGTCTGCCAAGAATGCCAAAGTAAGAAAAACCGCCTCTGTGACGGTTTCACACACATTCTACCAAACACTTTGCACAATGTGATTTTTCCCACTAAATTCTAAGTTCATAGGCAAAACTCATAGTCTACTTTTTAGCTTACCAATTATTTATGTCCTCAGTGCTTGGACATCAGTAAAGATTTGTTGAACTATTGGATTTACAGAGGGTAAGGACCCCAGAGATGATTAGCCGATCATCTTATTTTACTGAATAGTAGAAATAATAAAATACCATAGGGAATAACTAAGCAGATTTCTAAAAGACCTTGATTTAATTTTCAAATTTAAATTACCATGTCCTACTTTAAGAAAGTGTACAAACACAGTAAACCAAAGGGCACCTGTTCACACTCGTGAAGGATTGCCAAAACAAACCATGACAGGGTTATCGAAGTAAGTTCCCCATGGTGCCTTTTACATGATTCTATTTTCCAAAACTGCAAACATTTTTCACTACTATAGCTACTGAAGGGCAAGCATTAAAAAAGAAAAAAATCAAATCTTAAAATTATTAAAACTTCTAAACACAATCACAAATGAAACTAAATACTGGAAGGTTCCACAGAAACAACCCCTCTCAAAATTTCCTGTGTGTGTATATATACATGTATTTATCTCAAAGACCAAACTTCTGCAGCTTTTTAACTTTTTCTGTCAGCTAAAAGCTCACTGTGAATGAAGATGTAGGGACAGAAGCAGAGCTGCCCCACTGTCACCAACAGGCTCATCAGGCTCACTTGCACTCCCATCCCCCCTGCAGCCCCTCGACCTGGGCCTCAAGGGGACCTGGGGCTTCTGAAAACCCTAAACATTCTACAACAACTACAAAGACCATGTCCTGCCCTTACAAATTTCATTAAGTGTTTATTTTAAGAAATAAACCTCTCGATGATGAATTGTTAAGAGGAATGAGTGATCTCTCACACTAGTACCTTTTCTTTTCTTGATGGTTCAACTAAAAAACAAACAAACAAAAAAAAACCTACCTACCAAAACCATTTTTTGAAATAAAAATCAGCACAATCTTTGCCTCCTGATTCCAGATAACAAATTGTATGTGACATTTCCTAAACTAACCTCCAATCTCTTTATTCAGGTTCAGACAGTTCTCAGTTACAAAGAGGATGAATGAACAGGACATCAATCACTTTGGAATATAGCACCTTAAAGATGTCTTTAGCAGGTCAATAATCTTTTCACCTTAGAAGGACTTTATCAGATCTCGGCTAAAGCCTGGATAAAAGCTCTGCATTAAATACTTCTAACAATTGACAGGGTATCTCTACTACACAAAGCTGTTTTCTTCCTTAGGGTACAATCCTCAAGGTCACAATTCTTTGCAGCCTTCCAGAATGACAAAGGAGCATTACCTCTAGCCAAACAAGCTGTCAACACAAACTTTGTCATAGCTCAGATAAAGAAACTGGCAGACAGTGATAATAAGGTCTAATTTCCCTCCCTCCCAAGGGAGGTAAATAGATTTCAAATCAGTCTAGAAGTCTATAAATGGGAAGCCAGGTCATCTCTGGCCATACAAAGGAGAAAAGACTCACTGCAAATTCATCTAAAGGCTCATTGACTTCAATGTCCAGCACTTCATCACTGTACAGCTGCTCCTCCTCTGGCTCTTCCACATATTCTATCTGGTCTTCTGTCAACTCAGCTTCATGGCCTCCATACTGTCCTTCTTCTGCGTACTCCTGAGTGTACAATTCAGATCCATCAGATTTGTGATAAACTAGCTCATCCTCTCCTTGTTCATATTCAGATTCCTGTTCTCCAGACTGGTCATTAGTGTTGTCAGACAGTTCAAACGATGTAACCATGCCAGACGTGGTATTCAGACTAATTGTGATACCCTGAGAACTGGAGAGGATAAAAAATACAAAAGAAAGGCATCAAATGAGAGTGGAGCTCAAAACTAAATCATTATATAAATTAGTTGTTATAAGAGTTAAACTATGATTAAAGTTACTACAGCTACTGATAAATGAACATTACCCCCCAAAATGAGTAAAAACAAAGCTCAATGTGCTGCCAGCTGCAGAGTATTTGACCAAAAGCATCAAATCAAGGCAGATGAGTAAACAGGTCTAATGGGCAAAGCCCAAGATTCCAATCAGACTATATTTCATTCTAATTTAGACAACAAAATGGACAGAATCTATGACTAACATTTTAAAGTAAAAAACAGGAGTATTATGTCATAAAAACAAAATCAGTAGGAATTAAGAACAAGTTTTTATATCTATGATACAAATTATAAACTGTTTTTAAAAATCGAAATATTAAAAATTGTGTGAAAACACAGTTCTGTATTCAAGTAAATAGTTTGTATTAGTCACAAATATCTTATAAAAATGGTTCATAATTTCTAACAAAGAGGGTTTCAAAACTATCAAGAATCATATCCTACCACTATATCACAATAGCTAAATGCCAAACACTAAGGTGCGAGATGATATTCCCAACAAGACTGTGCAGAGAAATCTATGTTCACTCACTTCTGCGTCCACTTCTAACAAAAAACTGAACATGTTCCATACACTTCAAGACACAGTGGCTATAATATTCCAATGGTATTATTTCTCAAAACATAATAGTGATGTCAAAAAATAGAACTGGGAAATTTATTTACCTATTATAATAATATAAAACTATATTTTTACATGTAAAAATTACTTATGTTAGAAAACCTATTATAAATCTATGGCTCGATAATAAATGCCATAACTTGTTAATTACATTTACAACCAAGATGTTTATTATTTCCCCACTGTTTCCTCATAAAATTGAAAAAACCTATTAGAGTATATACCAAGTATCATTCTCTCCTTAGAGAGACTCCTTAATATAAGACTCCTTATGCTTACTAAATCTATACTAGAAGGCACTATATTCAGTCGACTCAGATCTAAAGTACAATCCAAAGGAATTTTCAAAATGGTTAATTCAGTAAACAGATATGCATACATAAAAAAAAGTCTGAAATGAAAACAAAGGCAGCAACATCAACCTGCAGCTGAGAGAACTGAAAGTTGAGCCCACTGCCCTCTATTCAAATGTAGCAATTCTTTAAAAAGCAGTACATACTGGTACTAAGCCTTCACAACCTGCACTGAACAGAATACTCATGGAGGTTATTAAATGCAAGACTACTAATTTTAAACAGTTGATCTGTTTACAATCCACATGGCTTCCCCAGCTATTCTAATATTCCATTTAGAATGAAATCGTATGTTAAAGATATCGTACCATATTATTCAATTATATCCATTATCATTATAAATTGCAAATAGTTCATATCAATTTAGTTAAGTAAAGAACATTTTTAATGAGGCAATATTGAGTACCTGAAATTTTCTTCATCTTCATTATCACTCTGTAAAAGATCATCATTTAGCTCTTCATCTGACAAATCCGACTGATTCTAATTAAAATAAGAAATCTAATTAATACGTGTCACTTCCATAAAAAGACTTGTTACAAAAGTACAAAATCGTATTGATTGGATTATTTCTAATCTTATTATATTGGAATGTCTGCCATCCAGACTTTCTCCATTTGATATTACCAGTGGATACTCAACACAGCCCACACGGGGCACCTGGATGGCCTCCCCCAAACTCGTGTTCAGATGCACAGGCAAGTACAGAAGCAGCAGGCATATGATCAAATTCATTCTAATTCTAACATGAAAGAAAAAGGTGAAGCCATCCCTTTGAGGAGCTTACAAACAGTATTTGTCATACACAAAAAGAAGGGTAACTTTAAAATATGACTAAATTGGCTCAGCGCCTGTGGCTCAAGCGGCTAAGGTGCCAGCCACATACACCTAAGGTGGTGGGTTTGAATCCAACCTGGACCCGCCAAACAACAATGACGGCTGCAACCAAAAAATAGCCGGGCGTTGTGGC